ATTGTAAGGGCAGGTCTCCATTAAAAGTTACCTCTTCTCACCGCTGAAATTGCCTGAATGAAAAATGGGCAAATCCACTCCCTCTGCTGCCAATATTCCTTAGGAAAAGTTTATTTCTCCTTCCGTCCGTGTGTGAGTGTGTGTACGCTCAGTTGGCCGAGAGCGTGCGACTGTGCAAACCGCCTCTTTCCGTTGGGCTAGGGCCATCTACAGCATCCAACTCCAGTGTCCTCTCCTTCTTGTTGACTGGTGGGAGTATGTCGGACGTTGCAGGGCACGTTCTGGCTGTCCTCTCTCGGGCTTATCTCCTCCTGCGCTTTACAGGTACTTGTGCTGTCCAGCTGCAGAAGAACAGGTTTCCCTGGAGTCTTCATGTAGCTTGTGCCATTAGCCAGTGAGCATGGCATCCCTCATCCTCATTATGGGAGATTTGTGAAGAGGATTAAGAGGTTGGAACAGAAGTAGGCTTACACGTCTGTCAAACCACCATATGGTTCTCCCTCTTTTTTCCTCTCTCTCTCTCTCTCTTTCTCACTCTCTCACTCTCTGTCTTTTATTTACTCACTGTCCCTCTCTCTGTCTCTGCCATTCACACTTTGTCCCGGATCACCATCAGTGAGAAGATCGTCTATCATAAAGGCACAGAGAAGTAGAGTCTAAGTTTGCCGCTAGATTTGTTCGCAGGGAAGACAGAAAGCAATGACGTCTTTAAGACAATGTTGTTTTAATACCCCTCCCTTTCATAAGGAAATCTTTTTATAGAAGCAGCAGAACTTCCTGCTGCTAAAGGTCCTCATATCCATTCTGGTAGAAGACCCACAAACTGGCGTGCATTAGAACACACGCTGTAGTAGGTGCAGCTGTGCGGGGTGTCACAGTGGGACTGTTGACATATTTGTGAGCTTCATCTGCGCGATGCACTTGGGAAAGTATGTTTGGGAACAGGGAGCTGAAGGGCTCAGTGCTCAAATTAATGGAGAAGACAGGATAGGGTCAATGCAGGAAAGACCAGCTTTGGCTATATTATAAAACAAAATGAGCATAACTGTGGCCCATTCTGTTATCATCCACTAAAGTGATTCAAATGGGGCTTGAAAGTAATTTAATTAATAAGGTATGGAATGCTTGAATAGATGAACAATGGGAAAACAGGAGGGTGGGTCATAACAAGCCAAGTGAATAGTATATAATAATAGCCGTTGTCTGTATTTATCCTCAGATCTTTATTCTCTTGGCTCTTACAGTAAATTGGGTGATAAAGTTGATGGCAAAGTTGCAAGTAATGACTGAGTTTGTGTTAATGGCAATATAAAAGAAGGCAAACCTTTTGAAGGCAATTTTGCACATTTTGCGCCCAGGTTCAGCACCTTTAAACAACGAAGGGTTTAGTATGGAGAGATTGATATGAAGCATGTAAACACTTTACCTTGCATTATAGCCTAGTATGGTTGGATTGTTTTCACTATATTCACATAATTTTGTCAAAAAACACTAATTGAAATGAAAATATTATTAACGTAAAGGAAAAAAATCCCTGAGAACACAAAGTCAGTGGGATTGTTTCTGATAAAAGTGGCAGCCTCCAGTGTTCTACCACGGGTGAAAATTCTGGAGTGGTTGATGTGCTGAATGAATGCTACTTCATTACATAGTGCACAGTTCTTGTATTGGGACTATAACATAAGCAATATGTTCTTGACTTTGAATGTAGTGCTTAATATGCAATTGCCAATGTGTATGATACATTTTGCAATTGATTCATTAAGATTCCATGCCTCTGTGATGAAGACAAGGTGTTTGAAGTTCACCTGTCCATTCACTTGCATCGGACCTAGGAATATTGCAGAATATACGATTTATATACTCTGAAAATCCAATCCAATACTAGGTGTTTGCTATGTAATTTTTTTTCCTCAAAATGATCTGTTTAATTTTTAACCAAAAGTGTTTTATTAGTTTGGTCTTATTTTTAGTTTTCCATGCTGCTGAAAGTTGCGCTAACAGACTGTAGCTACATAATCTCACCCCAGGACTGCCGAGTCCATGTACTCTGGAACACACCTGCCCCCGCCAAATGGTCAGACCAATGGGAGAACGTCTGGTGGCACATTCAGGTCAAGCGTGAGCGCAAATGATGTCCTGTCCAAAAGATCAGATCTACTAGTGTTGAAAACGTTTAAAAAAATGGCAATAAAATCAACACCAAAAAAGGAAACGACTAACAGAAACAAACCCCTTTGTTACTGAGTGTGTAAATAACATGCTTTGTTGGAAACTTTGGATTTGAAATGAATGCATTGTTTATGTGAGTCAGTAGCTTTTTCAGTTCAAGTGAATGAGGAGCTGAATTTCAAAATTTCAAACACCTTGACTTAATCACAGAGGCATGAATGTGCAAAATGTACTGTACAATTAGGAAACTGAATATTAAGCCCTATTTTCAAAGTCATGATAATATTGCTATTAGAGTAATTCCGTACTATGTAATAATGGTGAGAAAATGTTACCAAGGTCAAAGAAAAGGTTGTGGGATGAGTTCCCCTCAACAAACTAACCACCTAATTATTTTGCGGTAAGGTCAGTGCCATTTGGGACAAGAACCACCACTTGAGGAAATTCTTTTCTCTCACACGTGCTGACCACATCACCAAAGAGCCCTGCTCGTTGGCAATGTAGTCAGGGCGTATACCTATTAGGAGGCATTTCTCGTGACAGGACCCATCAATGGTCACACACATATGAATTGTTTGATTAGGAATCTACAGTTATAGAATACACAGTCAGAAAAAGCTTTGTCCCACACATAAATGCTACATATTATGTAAACAAATCCTTTATTGAGCGAAACCCTGTCTTCTGTATTTACTGTTCAGTGATGAGGCTGGAGGGATTGAATGGATGACCACTTAATGTGTCATTGATGGGGAAAAATATTTATAAAATGTGGAAAGTGTAAGTTCAAAGACACACACACACACACACACACACACACCCGTGCACATGCCTGCACAGGCACTCACAGTGTGGACCTAGTAAAGACAGTACACAGCTTCTCACACAAGCACATACTATATTATGCTAATGTAAGTGTATAAAACCCTTATGGATAAAGTAATACTTTTTCAGGAAGTGAAAAATTTTACAAGAACATATACAGGGAGGAGGACAAAGTTAAATTTTTCAACATAAGTGTGATGTGTCTTCAGTGAGGCTCTGTGACCAGCTGATACAGACTATGGGTGTGACATTGTATTACAATTTGAAAAAATGCATATTCTGACTTTGGAGGTATTTAAGGGAAAACTTTAAGTGAAAAATTATGGTTCAAGGGGTTAAACAAAGGAGTGAGCTACAAATTCAAAATGGCATCCTGAGAGAGTGGAGACTTGAGAAGTATTGTGGGATAAGTTTCAAGCCTGTATCACACCAGTAGGGGGCAGCAGTTCTATTTTATGGAATCACAAATTTTGAAACTGTTAGGAACAAAGGCTGTAGGTTGTTTCAACTGATGGAGAGGCAGGGATGTACACATTGAAAACAAATCTCCACATAGCTAGTTGAGTTGTGTGAAAAATACTTATGATCTGGTATGTTATTTACAACTTGAAGTCCTGGGCATCACATTAAGCTGTTTTGTGATCTCTAACATTATTTGTTTTTGTAAAAAAATATATTTGGCAATGCATGATTGGTTATAAATAATTTTAATAATATTCAACAAATATTGTGCAAATAATAATAGAAAACAAGGTAAAGGTAATTAAAACAGAAGACAAGGGAGGATAGCTGTTTCAGAAGACAAAAAAACTGAGTGTTAATGATGGGTTGCTAGCAGTGTATTTAATGACTGACTGTGGAACAAATATACAGTGCTGTGAAAAAGTATTTGCCCCCTTCCTGATTTCTTATTTTTTTGCATATTTGTCACACACAAATGTTTCAGATCAAACAGATTTTAACATTAGACAACCGAATAAATACTAAATGCAGTTTTTAAATGATATTTCATTTATTGAGGGATAACAGCTATCCAAACCTACCTGGCCCTATATGAAAAAGTAATTGCCCCCTAAACCTAACAACTGGTTGTGCCCCCCTCGGCGACAACAACTGCAATCAAGTGTTTGCGATAACTGGTGATGAGTCTTTCACATCGCTGTGGAGAAATTTTGGGCAATTCTTCTTTGCAGAATTGTTTTAATTCAGCCACATTGAAGGGTTTTTATGCATGAACGGCCTGTTTAAGGTCATGCCACAGCATCTCAATCGCATTTAAGTCAAGGCGTTGACTAGGCCACTCCAAAACCTTCATTTTGTTTTTTTAAAGCCATTCAGAGGTGGACTTGCTGGTGTGTTTCAGATCATTGTCCTGCTGCATAACCCAAGTGTGCTTGAGCTCACAAACTGATGCTTGGACAATCTCCTTCAAGATTTTCAGGTAGAGAGCAGAATTCATGGTTCCATCAATTACGGCAAGTCATCCAGGTCCTGAAGCAGCAAAGCAGCCCTAGACCATCACACTACCACCACCACATCTGACTGTTGGTATGATGTTCTTTTTTCTGAAATGCTGTGTTAGCTTTACCCAGATGTAACGGGGTGCACACCTTCCAAAAAGTTCAAATTTTGTCTCGTCAGTCCACAGAATATTTTCCCAAAAGTCTTGGGGATCATCAAGTTGTTTTTTGGCAAATGTGAGACGAGCCTTTGTGTTCCTTTTGGTCAGCAGCCGTTTTCACCTTGGAACTCTCCCATGGATGTCATTTTTGCCCAGTCTCTTCCTTATTGTTGAATCATGAACACTGACTTTAACTTAGGCAAGTGAGGCCTGCAGTTCTTTAGGTGTTGTTCTGGGTTCTTTTGTGATCTTCCGGATGAGTCGTCAATGTGCTCTTGGAGTAATTTTCTCCATTTGTGGATAATGGCTCTCACCATGGTTCGCTGGAGCCCCAAAGCCTTAAAAATGGCTTCGTAACCCTTTCTAGACTGATAGAGTGGGTGGCACGGTGGTGCAGTGGTTAGCACTGTCGCCTCACAGCAAGAAGGTTGTGGGTCATGGGTTCGATTCCGGCCTGGGCCTTTCTGTGTGGATTTTGCATGTTCTCCCCGTGTTTGCGTGGGTTTTCTCCGGGTGCTCCGGTTTCCCCCACCCACAAAAACATGCATCATAGGAACACTCCTACTGGTGCCCCTGACCAAGGAACTGGCTTTAGAACTGGAGTTGGTCCCTGGGCGCTGGTCTGTGGCTGCCCGCTGCTCCTTACTATAGGATGGGTTAAATGCAGAGGACAAATTACCCCACAGGGTTCAATAAAGTATATCTATCTATCTAGATGTCAATGACTTTGTTTCTCATCTGTTTTTGAATTTCTTTGAATCACGACATGATGAGTTGCTTTCTGAGATCTTTTAGCCTACTTCATTTTGTCAGACAGGTTCTATTTAAATGATTTCTTGATTCAACAGGTCTGGCAGTAATCAGGCCTGGGTGTGGCTAATGAAATTGAACTCAAAAAATGTGGTTAATCACAGTTAATTTATGATTTAACATGAAGGGGCAATTACTTTTTTCACATGGGGCCAGGTAGGTTTGGATAGCTTTTTTTCCCTCAATAAATGAAATCATCATTTGAAAACTGCTTTTTGTATTTACTCAGGTTATCTTTGTCTTATATTAAAATTTGTTTGATGATCTGAAACATTCAAGTGTGACAAATATGCAAAAAAATAAGACATCAGGAAGGGGGCAAATACGTTTTCACGGCACTGTAGTCATCAGAAAGATTTTGGGCACAGTGAACAAGTATCTAATTCTGAGAGGCCTATTTGGTGTATTTTTGTCAGTTTACATGATCCATGGTTTATTTTATATGGTTTATTCTAAAGATGTAGGTTAGGGTTACGATGGGATTGGATTCTACATGGCCTAATCAACTGCAGCCTGTAATCAGATGGCGTGCTGAAGTTTTGAGTTCCCTTAGCAAAGTTTGTTTGTTTTTTGTTGAGTTTTTGTTTGCTTAACTGGTTGCATCATGGGATAAAATGCGCAGGGCTCCATGTTGAGTTTGGAGTTAAGCTGTCACGGTGGTTGCAATGGTGATGGATTTAAACCAGCCGTGGTGCTCGATGGTTACAGCAATGACAGGCATGTCTGATGTTGTTCGTATTTTGCATAGTAATTTTCAATTTAAACCCAAGATGGGCACACTTCATTGGGGTGAATCCAATTGATTTGAATCTGCGACTAATTGGCAAGAAGATAGTTATGCATTAATATTTTAAGAAGGATTTGAGGGTTATTGGTAAGTTCGTTCTTCATAAACCATCTTTAATTTATTTATTTTCTTATTTGCTCATTACATTTTTAAAAATACATTTTCATGCCATGTTGCAGCAATTTCTGTCATTCCTTGTGCTGCTTTTTTTTTGCTTTTTTTGGGCAGTGACAAACCCCAGGTCAGAGGTCAGTCTGCCCCTCTGCCAGTCCTACAACATCTTAGAGGACCTAATGAAATGGTCTCAAATTTCTCTTCCTCACTTTCAACAGCCTAGTTCTGGTCTTCCATTAGGAGCAAAAATCACTTTTTGATTAATAAATATGTCTGCACATCATGCGGCAGTGGTTTATATTTCATCATTTAAAAACCCGTAGTACTAAAAACAGTTGTAACAGAACTTTGAGAAAACAACAATCCAAATCCTGACTGTTGTCAGCAGCTTTAGGGCTTGTGTGCGCATTTTTGCCGTTGATGTTTCACAACCCTCATGTGAATTACTTTTGTGTCTCATTCAATTCAGCAACTTCCGCGTCTATTTGTTGTTTGTCTTGTGCGATTGGTTTATGTTGTATGCATCTCCCCACCCTGTATCTCATTACCTGTTTTGCCAGGTGACGGGTATTTAAGCCCGCTTCTCAGTGTTGCAAGTCGCTGGATTGTAATGTGGTTTTGTGTGCTTAGAACCAGTCAGTATTTCTAGTGTTAACTCTTTGTCTTTGTTAAATGCGGCTTGTACTTTAATGACAGCAGTTCCTGAATATCATTCTTTTAACTCAGCTAATTCAGGCAATCTTCCAATCCTAATCAGGGTCCAGGATTGGGATCATGTTCAAGTTAACTCAGCTCGAGTCGGTTCATAAGTTCCAGTTCATATATAAACAAGCTCCCAAACCTAAGCTGGGTATGGGATTGGGACTGAATTCTTGTTAACTCCTCCAAGTGTGTTCCTCTGTCCAGTTTGTTAGGAACAAGCTCCCAAGCCTTCTACAGTCATCAGGATTGGAACCGAGTTCCCCTCGAGCCATTCCATCTTCCTGTGGAACAGTTCAGTGCTGGCACAATCTGCAAACCAGCTGGTTGTAATCCCGGGAGCCAGTGGTCAGTGACTGACAGCTCAGCTTTGTCAATAACATCTGTATCATTATATAGCATTTTGTCCCTACCTCTTCCACAGGGGTTCTGTCCTCTTCACTACGGTGTAAGTTGTCATTAAATTACCCATTGGATTGTACACTGCCTCCGCCCTTGATTCCTGGTCTGGACCGTAACATGATGATTTATTACAAAAGTGGTGCCAAATGATTGATGGAGGTAAAGTCTGGTCATATTTTCCAATAAATACTCAATTCTAATCTTATTCTAATAATGCTGTATTCAGTCCTTAATAATGTTAATAATTCATTTCAGATAGTCGCTGACAATGTCTCATCAAAGACAAGATGGAATATTTTGCCCCTGACTATTATTATTGTGACTGCGCCTGCCTTCTAACAGAAATTACCAAGCTGATTCATTTTTTTTTACCCACTGGTTGTTTTTACATACGTCATTGTTGCACTGATTGTCCTCGTGTAGTATCTTTGGAACTTAAAGCAACCTTGAAGCAACTGCAATGTCCGATTATGGTTTTATTGTGAATCAGCAACATAAGGAGCTGTCAAAATCGGAAACATCACACAGATACATTCCCGAAGAGCCATTGTTTTGCTTGCATTAATGCAATCATTCATTCACTACAAAAGCTTGGTGAAATCTCCAACTCATGTACCAAGACTGAATTTGTGTTGTTTAGATGACAAGTCCTTGGGTGTCATTTTTTAAAATGATTATTATTCCAAACACCACAATGTGCAACTTTAATTACCCTGAAGTTCATTTATAAGCTTCTCAAGTTTGTTGAGAGCATTTGAAGACCACAATGGAAAAATGTCACATTTTCACGTTTGTGGACAAATGATGAATTAAAAATACAAAACAATCTTAGAAATAAAGCACTGAAAAAATATGCAAAAAATATAAAATATATAAAGTATTATAATAATATATAATATTATTATATATTATTATACATATTATAATAATATATAATATATAAAGTATACAAAAATGCAAACTTTGGACTCATTTTTCCTTTGCGGTCTTCGTTTGTTTTTTCCCATTTTGAACAGGTTGCTTGTTGTATCACGTCTGGCCAGTGCGTGACACGCTGGAAGACTCACACACAGCTGTTCCCAGTTCTTTGAAATCCTAGATACTGGGATGAACCATTGCCCATCACCATGACCAGCATGAAAGCTGTTCCAAGCAGTCCTCAACTGATATGGCAAATGAGCAACACAAGCACATCTATATCATCTCTCTTGACATTGATGTTCTGGTATCTGCATACAGCACCATTTTGGTGTCAGCTTCCTTTTCTGTATTGCCCAATTCAGGCAAACAGTGAATACTTGTATGGTCAACCATCCTAACCTCCTGGCCATTTTCAAATCGACCTGCTTATATGATGGAACTTTGGTCTTTGAGTTCCTTAGGGACTACCCTGATGATGTAGTCTAAAACAAACAACAAAAAAGCATATTCTCAAAGGTCTTTGAAAGTTTGAAACTTAAAACCCAGAATCATTCAAACTGCAATTGGGCCATGCCATCTATAATGCAGAAAATTCTCTCTCTACTGAATGGAAGTCAAAATGTGAACTGTGCCACCATAGTTCATGATTGATATGACAATCTACAGTCAATCAAGTGTCTTAAGAGGTCGAGAAGAGGGAGGATGAGAGACAGCAGAACACATCACCTCACAGGAACTGGAAATGTTCCAAAGTATAGACTGTACTTGCGGAGCTGTGGTAAGAAGGAAGCCCTCTGCTTGTTTGTCCAAGTCAGGAGGTCACGATGGTTTACCTCGTTGAGGATCAGGTGAGGTTGGGGGAAGGAAAGGTGGCAGGAGGTCAGAAAATCTAAGATTATCCACTGGGCCTGCTCTAATAAAAGCCACAACTAATATTAGGTACTTGGAAGAATTTCCACCACTAATCTTAGCACTGACTTAGTTCAGCTCAGAAGAGCCTTGGTTAAATATATACAACCCTGTTCTTACTCTTAAAATTCTACAAACACACACACACACACACACACACGCCCGCATGCACGCACGCACACACTCACGCACAGTCATGCATGCACACGCACACATGCACACACATGCAGGCGCGCTAAACACACATGTACAAGCACATACTTACAGATTCACTCTCTCGCACAGTGTCACATACAGACAGGGGAAAAATTAATGGAGAAATCAACATGAAAAGTCTCAGTAAGGTGTTGGGCTGCCACAAGCTACAGATCAGCTTCGAAATGCTTTAATTCTGGAGCCTGGAGTCTGGTGGGATGGAGTCCCTTTATTCCAAGGGATATTCCCTCATTTGATGATGGTGGTGGAGAGTGCAGTCTAACACATTGCTCCTAAATCTCCCATATAAATTTATAGACCTGCAGTTACCCTTCTGCCTTAAAGAGTGGACCCAAATCATGCCAATAAAATAAACAGAAGCTTTTACATTTGTTATGTATCTCCATGGATTTATTCAGGTTTTTTCCTTCCAGTATTCACCCATCTGTATTTACATACGGATACAAAAGCAAATAGAACACCAAATATAACCCCAATTCTGAAAAAGTTGGCACATTATGGAAACTGCAAATAAAATTTAAATCTAAGAAGTCCATTTACCCTGTACCGCGCTGAAAACTCAATAACAACACATTACTTGATGCTTTAACTTGTGAATTTAATC